CCCAGCTACTTGGGAGGCTGAGGCAAGAGAATCGCTTAAGCCCAAGAGTTTGAGGTTGCTGTGAGCTGTGATGCCACAGCACTCTACTGAGGGTGACATGGTAAGACTCTGTCTCAAAAAAAAGAAAACAATTAGAGAGCAAAAAAATCACATTCAGTCTCTTTGACCCACATGTATTAAGAATCCTAAACAAAATTTTAGCAGACCAAATACAGCAATAGATAAAATGTCAATACACTAAAACCACATTGGGTTTCTCCCAGAAACAAAATGGTGATTTAACACCAGAAAAATCTATAAATAAAACTTCCTAGCCAGGCACTGTGGCTCACGCCTGTAATTCTAGCACACTGGGAGACTGAGGCAGGTGCATGGCTTGAGCTCAGGAGTTCAAGACCAGCCTGAGCAAGAGTGAGACCCTATCTTTACTAAAAATATAAAAAGTAGCCAGCCAGCCTGAGAAAAAGCAAGGCCCTGACTCTACTAAAAATGGAAAAAAAAAAAAACTAGCCAGATGTGACCAGCACATGTAATCCCAGCTGCTGGGGAGGTTGAGGCAAGGTGACCACTTATGCCTAAGAGTTTGGGTTGCTGTGAGCTACAATGCCGCAGCACTTTACCCAGGGCATGGTGAGATGCTGTCTCAAAGATAATTAAATAAAATTTCCTGCTTTCACAGATTAAAGAAGCAAAAGTATTTGTCTACCTTAGCATGTATAGAAAAAAACATTCAATAAAATTGAACATCTATTAATAATTTTTTAATGAATTTTTAAACTATGAAACAAACTTGATAAAAGAAAGCTACACAAAACTTTGACAAATACCACACATAATGGGAAAACACTGAAAACATATTTAAAGGGAAAGACAAAACAAGGACACCCATTATCATTTCTTTTTTAGACCAAAGTGAACACTACTGCTGCCATCGGATCACAGGAAGAAGAAACAAAAACACATCTATGGGGGAATCAAGAAGAAAAGTCCCTTCCTCCAGTAGATAA